GTCTAGTCTGTTCTTGAAGGCGTTTATGCTCGGAGCGTCAACGATGTAATCGGGGAGGCTGTTCCACATGTCGGTGATTCCAAGCGAGAAGAAATGTCGCGCGGATGAGTTGCAACGCAGTTTTTTAGTTTATAGCCATGGTCCCTGGTATTGGTTCTTGTTTAAAATTCTAGTTATCCTTCTGGGACTTTGTATAAGCCATGAGTATACTTGTATACTTCAATTAGGTCCCCACGCAGACGTCGATAACAGAGTCTTGGAAGCTTCATAATCTTTAATTTCTCTTCATAGAAATTGCCTTCCAAGCTTGATCCTTGTTGCAAGTCTTTGAACACTCTCCACTAAATTTTTGTCTTTTTCAAGTTTCGGTGACCACACGACGTTTCCAAACGCTATGTTCGGGCGCACGACAGCAACAAACAACTGCTTCGTCGCTTCTGCATCTAGGAACTCCAAAGAGCGTCTGATCAGTCCAAGAAGTTTGTTGGATTGATTAGCTTGCGATTCAATATGCTTAGAAAATTTCAGCTCCTTGTCGACATAAACTCCCAAATTTTTTTTCACACTAGGCTTTTCAATCATTACTCTCTCGTTGCAACCACGTCTTCCCATACTGTAATCTTGCTGTTCATTGTTCTTCCCTTGGTGAAGTTCTTTACACTTGTCAGCATTAAAACGCAGCTGCCACGTATCAGCCCAGTTGACTAAACTGTCAAGATCATCTTGCAATTGCGCTTTATTTGACGCATCCTTCGCTGGATTATAAACTTTTGTGTGATCGGCATACATGGAGTACACGCTTGACACTACTTCTGGCAGATCGTTTATAAAAGCAACTAACAAAACAGGCCCAAGATCGCTTCCTTGTGGCACGCCACTGCGCACTGATGCCCAGTCTGATACGGTTCCGTTAATACTGACACGTTTTCGTATACCTAGTAGAAAATCTCTGATCCATTGGAGTGCATTTCCCTCTATTCCCAATGACTTCACTTTACGCAACAGCCGCTCATGCGGAACACTGTCAAATGCTTTGGCAAAATCGAGGTACACTGCATCCACGGGTGCGCAGCCGTAGACCAGCAAATTAACGCTCAAATCAGCCCTGGAGCCAACATCAACCATCTAAATGCTATAGATATTGTCATCCTGGCACCTAAGCAGCTGTAGTCAATTGACCTATCTCACCACACTAACTTTAAACCAACACTGCTTCAGCACACAAGCTGCTCCTCCACATAGTTAACGGTCAATACGTTGTTCTCCAATGCTTTATAACCCATACCATCACTTCTTACACATGCTGTTATCCTAAGTGTCCGATGACCACACTGCATTATCGCAAATGTGAACTGTACAAAACGGTAATGCGTCATCACCTTACTTAATCCGTAAGGCGTTAACCCGGCGTCACTGTTTTACCCTGACTCTCCACCATTATCGCATGCTAACTGGAGGCTTTTCTCGCAGATTTTTTATGCTTATTCATATTAGGTTAGGTTAGGTTACAACTCGTATAGATCCTCTTATTATAGCGTAATGCAGTCAAGTGAGCAGTAACTAAGAAAAGCCGTCCGGCAGTCGGTGAAAAAAGGCGGGGAGACGGGGTAAGCGTGGAGGTAGAGTTGGTAGAGTTGGAGACGGGGTATGTTGGGGGAAAACAGCTGCGACGAACGGACGGGCTCGGGCTGGAGTGCTGGCTGTGTATCAACAGCGGTATGGCGTAGGGAGTTGCTTACCGAGTGAGGTTAGACGACATGGGATAGAGCTGTTGGGCGGTTTTAAATACGGCGTAAAGCGATTGTATTGGTGGCTTACTTCTCATTAGCTCGCTGGTTAATTTCCATGAAGGGGATTTGTACCTTTGGCTTTTAACATATAATCCCTTAGTCTACTCTGCCCTTTAGCAGGCTTACGCACTGAAAGGAGGATGAAAAATATGCTGGTCAAGGGCAATGCTGGCCTCTGGCATGCATCCCCTCTCACAACACATTCCATTACCTTACAAACAACACTTGTAAGGCTGACTGCAGGGCGACAGTTACCGGGGCTACTTTTGTCACCTTTCATGAACAATGGTGTTACTGAGCTTCTCTCCAATCGGTCGGCAAAGTTACTTCGTTTAAGGTTTTTTGGAATAATACTGTCAAAGGGCCGGCCAGGACGGTTGCTAATTCTTTGAGCAATCTAGGGTGGAAGCCTTCCAGGTTTACATGACTTGTTGGGATTTAGAGCGACCAGGCGCTTGAGGGGTCGCCTGCCGAAGACCACAACTGCCCTGGATGTAATGGACGTTTATGATTCCTGCCTTCCGGAACGTAGCCTTCAATACTTCAAGCCATCCGTATCTAGGCCGTTGGTCGAACCAGCCCTCGGTCGAACGGCCAATTGTCGAAGGACGATAAATTTTGGAACAGAACTATGCTATCTGAAACCTAACCTCCCCGCTTGAGAACCTCTCCTTCATGTATTTCAAAACTTGTTAATTTCGAGCCTACTGGGCGCTCCTCAAAAGCTGTAATACTGTTCAAATCATCTGTGAACACACTGCTAAAGATTGAGCACGTTAGCCTTGCCTTCATCAGAGGATAGCTTCCGTTGGTCTACTTTCAAATCAGAGATAGAATAGAATAGAAGTGTCGGCACTGAAGAAATAGGCCCATGGCCTATTGCCGATTCTTGAATTTTTCGTGACTTGATTCACAAGGGGTAAGCCTTTGGAACCCGATCTTTCCATAACTGACGATTGATTGAGATAGCTGCTGGACTTATGCCTGGTTCGTAATTTGCTAGGCATTTAAGACAACAAATGCTCCTGCATAGCTTCGTCTAGTCTGTTCTTGAAGGCGTTCATACTCGGAGCGTCAACGATGCTATTTGGGAGGCTGTTCCACATGTCGGTGACTCGCAGCGGGAAGAAATGTTGTCGCATGGATGTGTTACAACGCAGTTTTTTTTAGTTTATAGCAATAATACAGCAAATATCGCTGTTTGTCTTACACTTTGAACTAGCGTACAAAAAGAAGGCTTTCGTGTTCTTTTTTTTGCTTTTAGGTAATATTTTTTCGTAGTTTTTATACTGTAGTGCGGCAGATTCACGCAACGCAACGCACACACGTTCGCACTGTTTTGGTCGAGTCACGCAATTAAAATTTGCCAGGCATCCACGCCATTCAAATTTGGATCGTAAAATCATGAGATTTCACAAAATCTATCTAGATTTAACATATCTTTCAAATGAAAAAACTAATTGATCGTGATGTTGATTTCAATGAAATAACGGCATATTTTCTCAAGTTCTTTACAAAACCTACTTCACTTGATACCAGCTACCACCGTGTTAAATGTTTATTTTTTAGACTTCATTGCGGAACAAAACATCTCTTTATCTAGAGAACTCTTCAAATGATCTTATTAGATGCGCACATCATTAATCAAACCTCATGATTAATCGACTGCTGTCATTTTGTTAGCTTTCTGCACCTGGACCAACACGACTGAGATAGCTTGCTGCACCTGGACCACCATGCCTGAGTTAGCTTGCTGCACCTGGACCACCACGACTAAAAAAAACATGACTGACTAGTGTTGCCCGCTGGCGCACTCTAAAAAGAATTCACAATTTTTGAATGACTCCATTAGAACGTTAAAGTATTTTTGTCGTTAACTAATTTTTTATTATTCAGGAATTAGGCGAATATTGTTCAGGCTTGAAAATTTATATTTTTATCTATTATTTTACACGTGAATAATAGTGAGCATTGAAGTATATAGTTTAATTTTATCTAATAAGGTTACTTGAAGCTACAAAAATGGTGTCAAACGAGCTTAGGGATTTAATAAAAATGGATTATGACGTTCAAAAGGAATGATAGTGCGAGTTATGAATTCGAGTCATTACAGGTCACAGAAAAATAATTGTTCTATTTCATTACGAGGCCATATTTGTCACAAATTATTTTCTCATTGAATTAAATTAGTCAGTGTTTTTATAGTTTTTGGCAGACAAATGATTTAGACAAGTTCTTGCCTTAGATGAGTTTAGGAGGAAATTATGCGCAATTCGATAGTGGGAGCTATTACGACACATGGAATAATGGGATGATGACGCAAATGATGATCAGGGGCCATACTTTCAAAATTCGCTTAGTGAACGTAGGTACTTACGCTCTATTTTCTGGTCTATGATTGGTGGATTTAGCTTGAAAGGCCGTCAATGATTGGCTGATGAACTTACGATCTCTTAACTTTTTTTGAAAGTACGGCCCCAGAACTCGTGAGCGTGGAAAAATGTTCTGATAGAATGCAGCTCATTTTCCTCTTAACTTCAGTATTAGAGTAATCAAATTTACATTGTCATCGCAGCTTCTGTTTCTGAATGGGGAAGGTTAAATAACTTGCACTTTTGAGCCTGCACTTAAAAAATTATTAACAATGCATAACATCATGGAGGTAAAAATAATCTGTGACTTGTCGTACAAGAAAAACTTGAGTACAGACCACCGTAACTGTAGTGTAACAAAAAAATTAATTTGATTCGAATCATTAAATTGATTCATTGCAGTTATTTTTGACAAGTTACATATCATTCGCCATATAGTGGTCTAATGAAATATTGTCTGAATGCAATTCATCTAGACAAAAAACGGGACAATAATTTATATAAGAATACATTTATTAATTGTTATGAGGTCTATTTTAGGATAATTAATATTGTTCTTAACAATTATCATTCACCGAATACTAAATTTGAAGCAATATTGAATTTTTATAATAGAAGAAATAAATTTAAAAATATATTTTGCTGGGAGAAATTAAATATTCGAATAAACATTAAGTCTCATGCAGGAACTCAAGTTTCCAAAATCAAATGAATAGAGAGCTTACTGTCTTCTAGAATTTTGCTTTGTATATTTAGAGGCAGCAAAATTGATGATTCACGCATGTGTGCACATCAACAAAATTGATGATGCACGCATGTGTGCACATTAACAAAATTGATGATAGACCTGCCGTCGCTCCGCTGCCACGACCTGCCACCGCACTGCCGCTCTGACCTGCCGTCGCTCCGCTGCTCTGACCTGCCGTCACTCCGCTACTCCGACCTGCCACCGCACTGCTGCTCTGACCTGCCGTCGCTCCGCTGCCACGACCGCAGAGAAAAGATGACGCGAGCTTCGATGCTTCTCATCGTACTTCTCATTGCCGCTGTCTCGTACGCGGCGTAAGTACTTCGCTTCTACACCAAATCGATGATGCGATATTGACATAATCTGTGAATAGATTATTATGTGGAGTAATAGATTAAATCCTGTGTCATGGAGTAATAAACTACTATTTTGCTACTCCAAACAAACACACACTATTTATTCGAGAACAACATTTAATTTATTTTCCTTTATTACTTCGTAACTCCTGAATGTTTGATCCTTGATGATGGCAACGTTAACAGTTGAATTCGTTATTTGCTGCTGTCCTAATAAGGAAATTCGGAAGTGTAGTGCTGTATCCAGGATCTTGTCTTGAAGTATCATATCGTCTTTTTTATAGAATTTTCAAGCGTTGAATATATCTCAAAGGAGAAGGCTTTAATTTTTTTTACGAAAACATGCTCATTTTGTATTTTTTTACAGAGATAAAAATCCTTGCAGAAGGGAGGTGAAAGCGAAAGTACTTGAATTAGTACGCGCTATGGAAGATTGTTGTATTGGGTACAAATTGGACATGGACAAGACTACATGGAATTCCTATTCAAGTGAGTGCACAAATAGAGTAATTTTGCATAAATTTGTTCCTGTTGACGGCTAAAATAATTCTCAACCCATATTGGTCGACTGAGATTCTAAACTCAGTTTAGAATCCCAACACAATTGCACTATATAAGATATTTCAAGATATGTTTTGCTGAAAACGTTTTACCCCTTGATTGGAAACTTCAAATGACGAATCGATTGACATCGATTACTCGTCCTCAATTTTAAACTTAATGATATTTCGGGCTCGTCAGTTTTGCCTTGTACGGTCTTAGTTGAGATTTAGCCTGTGATATGTTCATGATTGTGTGTGTTGTATATAAATATATTTATTTTTTAATTTATATGATATAAATACCAAACCCGTCGACTATATTTTCTCCCCAACAGAGAGAAAATGCAACATCTACGATTCTCTAAATAATTACGATGTAGCAGGATGTGATCCACTTCCATACTGGTGCGCCAAGTGCGTGTTGAAATCAAAGAAGCTCGTGAGTATTCCAGTATATTGGCACACTGAGTGCAGTACATAGTGCAGTTACTTGAGCACTGAGTGCAGTACATAGTGCAGTTACTTGAGCACTGAGTGCAGTACATAGTGCAGTTACTTGAGCACTGAGTGCAGTACATAATGCAGTTACTTTTCGCTGAATTGAAAGATGCAGCGTTTCTTAATCATTGTCAGTGAACTGAAATGGGATATTAAACATGGAACTTATTTTGTTGAGCAATACTCTTAACAGAACAAATATTATTGTTGGCATGATGAATAACAAATTTTTCAAATCCTCCAGATCTAGGGAGTGCATAATTCTAAATCTCTCAAATTTCATCCTGCGAAATATTCAATCCTTACTAGTTTTTTTTAAATGCCACCCAATTTCATTTTCTTTTTGCAGCAACAAGTAATTCCATCTTCTCCCCAAAAAAATAAACACCTGTATGTATATCTACTACTCATTTTCCTTTTATTTCGCTAGTTATTCCCAAACCCTCCTTTCCTCCACAGCTGAAACCTGACGACACTTTGGACGATGCGGCCTTCCAGAAGAATTTGTTGTCGAACAAATGCAGCTCAGAGACAAGCTTCGAAAACGCTTACACGAACTGCAAAAGCTCCAGCATGCAGCGTTTGAACGTGAGTAATGACAAATGTCATGGCCAAGCAAACTCGTGCAACGTGTTTTTAGTTATAAATGTTACACATAGTCTTAAAAATATAGAAATTAGCCTTAATAAACATTTTCTTAAATTAAGCACTGTAATCGATCATGATTCACGGAAATGTAGCCAGCTTATAACGTGCATGACTCTAAAAGCTCATGACGAATGTTCTATTTGGCAGTTTCTCAAGTTCATGGCGTGTATCGTTCAAGCCATCCCAGGGTGGCCCTACTACTAGTTAAAGTTCAGAGTGCCAGGATTGGAGCAGAGAGGTGCGGGCTGCGGGTTCGATCCCAGCTCTGTGCGTCAGTTTCTGGTCAGAATCGGCGAGGAGGCCGGGCGGTTAAGCACAGCAGAATTGTAGCAGTGAGTTGTGAGTTCAAGCCCGCAAAATGCTGTGGATGTTCTGCGATAATAAGAATCGGCGACAGGCCTACGGCCTAATAAACGCTGAAACCGCTATATTTAATCAGCTCACTAAATGGAGGAAAACCTACTGACGCGGAACAAGATAGACTGCACTCGCCCTCAACCTTCGTGCACTGGATTTTCTTATTCCTTTTTTAAATTTTGATGCTTTTCTGCAATAATAAATTTATTATCCTGATAATGACAAGTTGTGTGAATATCATCAAGGCAAAATAATTCACGAAAGTTTATATGCTGAAAGTTTTTTATATTTGAACTAGACCATTTAGACAGCGTATATAGATTGGTACAGAGACGAATTTGAATTATGTCAATGTACATCATTTTTGCAATAGCTCCACTATATTAGGCGATTTTAATATTTGTGATCAACTAAAGTCACGTATCGAAGATAGGGTACCTCCAAAGTAAGGGTTGGTCCTCTCGTCACAACCATCAGCCAGGAGTCTGGATGCGCATAGTGCCAGCTCCCCAATTATTTGAGGAATGCTTAAGACGAAGCGGGATATTAAATGATTATGAACGGCTAAAGGCAGTTTATTAACAACGCGAATACCTATTAAATTAGTATAGCGGAATGGTAGCTGAATTAATTAAAAGTGAGTGGTAACAGTTGAGTATTAGGATCTGAACAGTGAGCTATTGGTTCGACCCCAGCTGCCTGCGAAAGTTCTGGTAAAATTGGGGAGGAGGTTGGGCGTTAGTAGAAATATCAATAATAGTAGTAGTAGTAGTAAATTTACTAGTGCTTCACACAAGTACCAATTTTGGCCTTCATCTGTGTCCGCAGCTTTTTATCTCTACTATATTCTAGGCGTGCAGCCTGATCCATTTAGGTGCAGGGGTTCGGCGTTGAATTCTTGGCTTTCAGAGCGCCCGTCCGCTCCGGTTTCATTTACCTCAGCTTTATGTAGCGACTTCAGGGTCAAGGAATTGGAGTTTAGTCTGGGTAATGGCTAGGTGCAAATATAGTTATGCGGCATATGATCGGAAGGCGGTGCCATCATGGGATCATGCTAGATCTCCGATAGTAGCTAGGTTGCTCTCTATCAAATATCATCTAACGGTCTAAGATTGTAAGTTCTGAAGTTGCTTCGCGGGCCTTCCCGTAGCATTCTGGTGAACATCTCGTTATGATGAAAGGCTGAAGTGTTGGGATTACAGATCTGACGGATGTCGCTGTGGCTAGCACCCTCCGCTAAGGTTCGGGAGTAAATACTGTCGGACGCTGGCAGTATTTACTGCCCTGTGTGATAGGGGCCTAGACATGCAGTACTGTCAGGGGCACTAGGCAGTCGTCACAGTACGGCATAAGGCGTAGGCTAATTCCACACTAGGGTACAGTGCATCACTTAATTAGGTAGCTACGAGTGAGGGGATCGAAATTATGTCGAAAAATAAACTCAACAAAATTCTTACATTTTTATTCTTAAATAACTAAATTTTGAACAATTAAAAACACTCATTTGGAATATTTCCCTATCATATCCTATTGAAAGTATCTTTTAGTTGGCGTTTTTTTTTTCATCGAAAAGGTTTTTCATCACAGGTGCGAGGTGTCTGTAACGAAGACTTCAGTAGGAGGTTATGATCGGGCATAAGGTGCTGATAGGAATTCGTTACGCCAACCTTCAACGTATCTGGCCACATGCAAACCTTCAACGTTTCCGACCGCACGTCAATCTTCAGCGTATCTGACTACTCGCACAACCAAACCAACTTCACTTGAAATCAGCTACCATCTAGTAATGTTTCTTAAGACGTCATTGTGAACAAAGCATCTAATTAAAAAAAAACTCTTCAGATGATCTTATCAGATGCGCACATCTTTAACATCATTTATAAAACTTCATGATTGATCGACAGCTGTCTGTCATTCTGTTAGCTTGCTGCACCTGGATCAACACGACTGAGTTACCTTGATGAACCTAGACCAACACGAATGAGTTAGCTTAATGCACCTGGACCAACACGACTGAGGCTAATAATATGAACGTTGCTGTGCGAGGGCACAACTTGTGCCCAGTTCTTTGCCAGCGCCCTCCAGCCCTCCCATACCTCATTCCGCATCGTTTCTGCACCACTAGGGGACCGCCCCATGAAAGCCTTCATTAAGTCGAGGTTCGGCCACCTTGTCACACCACTCGTGGCAAATGTCATCTTACCCGCTGGTAGAAGCCAAACAAATGTCATCTTACACGGAGAAGCCAAACGGACTCTCCGCAGGGAGATCGACTACCGCGTTGCGGCGACTGACGCCATAAACGCCGTCCTCGCTGCCCCTCCGCCGCCGATTGCATCGGCTGAGGCCTCACTCCCTCGCCCCTCCCGTTCGGCGCTATCCCAGCTCCGCTCGGGATACTGCAGCTCCCTAGCGTCATACTCCGCTAGGATCGGACGCTGCCCTAGCTCCGCCTGCCTGGAGTGCAGGGATCCCCTACAATCGGTCCAGCACCTCTTTGTCTGCCCCGCCTTCCCCACGTCCCTCAGAGGCTCAGCGTCTCCTCACTGTGGGACAGCCCCATGGAGGCAGCGGCATTCCTGGCCACCCTCACTGTCTTCGCCCACCTCCCCCTCTTCCGGTGCCTGCCCCCACCCACCTCCTGAGCCTCCTCCCCGGTGAGCGTGACGGACGCAATAAACAACAACAACAGGGCACAAGTGAGCACATCAGTGCTTCTGCTCCATTTATATCCCCTATTATATTGTTCCACTTATATCTGTCCGAGCGTAGTTTGTGGATCCAAATCCTCATGTGTTTACAGGCAGTCTGAGATTTATGACACGACAGGATGGGATTTATGACACGAGGGCTGAGGGGATTTATTTGAAGTTTAGACACCTCCCCACAGTCCCCAGCCCGATTAAGCCTCCCTGATTACATCGTTTACGCTCCGAGTATAAACGCGTTCACGAACAGACTAGATAAAGCTATGGGGAAATGTATATTCAGACCTAAAATGCCTAGCACCATATCAAACCCAGTGGAAGTCTAGTAAATATTTCAAACTATCGACAGTTTGGAAAAGATCCGGTAGAAGGACCTGTTTTTACACTGTAGGTCTCCTATGGACAAGTAACGAAAAGTACCTACAAGAATCGGCGACAGGCCACATCTGGTCTATTGTTCAGCGCCGACTTCACTAATCACTATGCAATGCTATTAGAACAAGGTTGTACACACAAATCACGTACTCACATCTATCGAGATAGGACCCTCGTGTTATCACTTCCGCTGCATCGGTATGTTCCCCGCCTCACAATTCACAACCATGATGCCAATACAGAACCTACAACACTTTTCGACTTTGGTCGGAACTGTCACTAAAGATCGATATTCATATGCGACTGTGGTGGACAAGTATCACGGCACGGTAAGCTTTGCCTGTCAGTAGTTATGCAGGTCTATTTTCTCGTTTCAGGGTGACGCGCAATACTTGTAAATCAATCATCAGCTGCTACGCAACACATTGCAATTTTCAATAAAAAATCAGCATACTACTTCAAAAATAATTTATTAGATCCCCAAATATTGTTTTTTTTCGAGCCGGATACCTCTATCATGTCATGAAATTTACATAGTTTAAAATTAGGTTTATTGATCCGGATAAATAATCTAAACTGACCTTCACAATTCTTTTTTTAAACAGAGGAACATTTTTACCTGCTTTTCCTAACTAGAGTAAAAATTAAGAGGGTCAAAACTTTCATCTGCAAAGGCTTGGTCCACTCACGGTTGAACTATATAAAGTTGACCCACGGGAAGTTCCGTCTTTCAGTTTAGCTTTCTTGTTACGTAGATCGAGAAACGTAAACAAGCCCGTCATTCCCATGACGAATTTTTTGACTGGTTTCATCTCATTTCGGTGATTGGTTTATGCCCGTGACGTCACTGAGATCAGTGACGTCACAGGCGAAAAACAAACTACATCAGCAAAAGTGAGCTTCTCATGGGTCAACCTTGTACCAGTTCAACCATGATCCCACCAATTTTCACGTTTCACCATATATTCAACTGACAAGCCGTAAAATTTATTTGCGGAAGGACAAGGCTGGTTCAAAAAGCAAAATATTTAAGCCTTTAAAGATTTCATACGTGGAATTTGCGCAGAATAGCATTCAGATGTACGACCCAAAGTATTCCAAGCGGTGTAATAGTTGACGTAACAATTTGAATATTTTCTGGAGTACGAATCTCTCTTTCCTCTTATGTACTGAATCAATAGATCAACAAACATTTGAATGAATGCGCAGAACCTTATTAGATGTACGCATGGGATAACGAGACTGAGTTCAAATATTCTGAAATTGCTGAAGGGTAAATAAACAACGCATGGATAAATCAAATAGAAAATCTTTACGTACAAGAGATAAAATCGTATGTTCAATTAATAAACACTTCTGGTTATGATGATGATACATAAATAAGTTCAGCAACGCTTCAATCATAAAAACCTCGTAAATAAATACAAAAAGAGTAGTATGTACAATGTTTTTGTCCTTTTTGAACACAGAAGACAGTGATGGCATTCCTTAAGTCCTCCTGTATCTTTCAATATCCCTCATATCCACACTGGAAATGCCTTACATATGCAGAACAGAGCTGGGCAGCGCTACTTGGAAATGTAGCGGCGCTACCGCTACCGCTACATGCTCTAAATGTAGCGGGCGCTACCGCTACCGCTACACCCACTAGATTGTAACGGGCGCTACCGCTACCGCTACAGTAAAATGTAGCGCGCTACATTAGCCGCTACAATGGC